GCTCCAGCAACCTTCAATATATATAGAAATCCCTGGAGGATTTCTTGGCTTACTTGATCATTTCAAACACTTACACTTCTCAAACCACCTCAAGAAAGCTTCTTTTCTCTCTACTTCCCACCACTTTGTGCTAGTGTTCTTGAGCTACTACTTCACTTTTTGGTAAGTATTCCATCTAAACTCAAGTGTTATTCCATAATTTCATAACACTCTTGGATCATCGACTCATATCTTAACACCAAAAATCGTTCTTAGGATCATCCAAGCTTCCACGTGTTCATCAAGTGTTCTTGACTTGATACTCCTCGACTTTAACCTTCCACTCTTTTAGAAATCACTCAAGGTGAGTTCATAACCCTACATTTTCCCGTTTTCTTTAGTTTTCAGGGGGGGAATACAAGTTAAAACACCAAAACATATTTGAAACTTAACTTGACAGCTTACAACAGAAAAGTTGTGACCTGTTCACGAACTGTTTTACCCAACTTAAACTTAATATTTTTCAAAACTGTTTAATATGCATGTAGTTCAGGTTTATACCTTTAAAATGACTACTTGAACATCTCCATACGATTTTTCTACAATTTATGGTGATTTTTACAAAACTGCCTATCACTGCAGCATCAAAGTCGGACCAGGTTGTGAAGATGAACATTTTCACCCTGGTTTGAGACCACCAAAAATTATAGGAAAATTTATGGATACAGTAGACTCTTTTTCCAAATGCTCAGAGTTTACGGATTCAGTTTTCGACTTACGATGATTTTTCTATAAATATTCTAAAACAGTGACAGTTAAGGGTAAAACTGTCAAATACATGTTTAAGAGTTATTCACACCTTGTAACATGCTGAGCAAGGTGTGTACGATTTACACTTAGTATTTTAAATGTCATTTTATGGAAATACAAAGACATGCATAACAAGGTTTCATTCAAACACACAACACTTTTGATAAACTATAATAGGTATAGTTTGAGCACTTCGTTTGACAAAGAAAACAATAACTCAATCGACTTACAAAACAAGTATTTCATTACACACTACGTGAACTTGTTAATAAATAAATTTGTGAGACATTCTCCTTCGGGGTACTCTTAAGTACCATAGTAAATTCTGTTGTTATAATCAGAATCTCTTGGAGGGAGAGCGTGATAGTTGTGTATAGATCTATATTGGGTCTGACAAACCCGCACCTAAGCTGCTTGCAACAGCTAGACCGCCAGGTCTGGGGTGACAAGTGTCATAACATTCCGACGCCTGAAGAACGTCGAGTACGAGGTCTTCGAGTTTAGTATGGTTATAACATCTCACATGATAAATTAGCAAAACACACAGTTCACGGGAATTTAAGGAGTTTTATTTAAATATAAAACAACACACACACATAAGTATGACGATTGACTTACATATACTAAGTTTTGGTTCAGTTAGGACTATAACAACCCTTTAGAAAATATTGGATTTTCTGGACATAAACTTGTAACAAACAAAAAGGAACATCATTCATTTTTTATTCATAAATTGCTTATGAACTCACTAGCTTTATGCTGATCCTCTTTCAAAACAACTTGTATTCTCAGGTAATCAGTAAAACAGGTAACCACAAGATTTCTGAAGTCAAGACGCTAAGGCGTAGATTCTTTTGCTATATTTTGACATCATATGTAATTTATTTGGAAACATATACTTTTGAAACGATGTAACCTTTTAATTATATTTATGATGGTTGTGTTTACTTTCTTCACTATGGTTATGATATTGAGCATGACGTCCTCCGCCCCGAACGTTTCCGCCGTTCTGGTTTGGGGGTGTGACACATCCTGACTCCCAGGTACTACATTTGTTTATTTATTTATTGGGAATTAATGAGTGACTCGGCGAGTTGTGTGTTTGACTCGCCGAGCGTTGGATTTGAGCACGCGGGTTAAATAACCAACGCGACGAGTCAGAGATGCCGACTCGCCGAGTGGGCGCTGTGTGAGGAATCCCTAAATCCCCGGGTTTGGGGCCTATATAAGGAAACTTATGTCCTTATTTCCACCTCACCAGCTACCCTACTCCCCTGAGAGAAACCCTAATCTGCCATTGAGCCAAGAGAGAGTGATAGAGCTAATATTTGAGTGTTTTGGTGAAGCATTGGAAGAAGGAGAAGTGAGATTCAAGCAAGGAACGAGGAAAGGCTGTGAGATCCAACATTCATTCATTAGAGCTTCTGTTGGAGGTAAAAGTCGTCATCTTGCTCTCATGTGTTTAGATCTGTTAATGAGAAACTTTTGGGGCTTTTCCATAATTCCTTGAGATTTGGTATGACTTGTGCTTGCCACGCATTGAGACATCAGATCTGGACCTTGTGAGGTCCAAAGAGTCCAAAGGTCCCAGCTTTATCCATCCATAAAGGGTTATTGTGCTTAACACCTTGGTTAGAGCTTTTATTTGGCATTATGGAGCAAACATGCCATGCATGAACGCAAAGATCGAAGCTTTACGTGAAATTCGACCATTGGGAGGCTAGATCTAGAGTTTGGAATGACAGATCTGCCTTGAAACGTCTGAATGAGAATTTGGCTTAGGGACTCGACGAGTCAAAGAGCTGACTCGATGAGTCGGCTAGGGTTTTCCCCGATGAGTCTGTACATAAGTAGCTCGACGAGTTGACGGGACAACTCGACGAGTTGAGTTGGGTTTTCGCGAGTTTTGATAGGAACAAGGGGAACTCGGGAGTCAACATAGATGCACTCGGCGATTCGAGTCAACATGGACAGTTGACTCGAGTGTTGACTTTAGGGTTTGGTCAAGGCAGGAGTACGGGGCCGTGGAGGGGTAAATGGTCTTTTACCATTCCATGACTTGAGAGAGAGATTAACCTAGTTTGTTTCGAGTCGTAATTTAGTGTTGATTAGAGATTATTATCTTATGTGTTAGGCAGAGCCTAGTTCGAGATTCATGTACGAGATTATTACTTACTTGATTACGAGGTGAGTCTTCTCACTATACTTACCTAGAGTGGTAACCTTTGTGTGACCGGAGGGTCTTATGTGCTTATATTGAGTATTGTGATATCCTGCATTATATCTATGTGATTTATGCCATGCATTATTCTGAGCTTACTGAGTTAGGACCGGAGGGTCCACCCAAGTTGTGGGACCGGAGGGTCCTACTGAGACACATTGACCGCATGGTCTTATTTTGTGCATAACCATGAGAGGCTAATGAGATATGTGTGGTATTTTGGGGAACTAACTAAGCTTCGTGCTTACCGTGTTATGTGTTATGTGTTTCAGGTAATCTCAAGATCACGGGAAGGCACCAACTTGATTTTACACACACACACACGAGTTGGAGATATGTTTTTGAGGATCCTGGATTTGTGTTATAAACAGTTTTTGGGACATGTGTTTTGATAACTTAATGTTTGTGGGATTTTTTGTGATTTTGGAAATGAGATAATTGAATATTTCTATGAAAAATTTATTTGAAAATTTACGGTGTTACACCACTTTTCAGTAAAATCTTTCAAAATTTCTTTTTTGACAAAATTAGTTGAATGAGCTCGACTCAAATGGGACTAAAACCCAAATTGTAAAAGCAAACCGGAGCCAAACCATTAGTAATAGTTTAGTTTTAATTTTCAATGGTCCGGCTTCGGTTTTTGATTGACAATTATTACTAACGGTTTGACTTTGGTTTGACCTAAAAACCGAAAAAATGGGACCATGAACACCCCGTCACCCCATTTGCATTTCATGAGGAGAGTTCCAAATATATTAGTCATTGTACTTTCTTTTTTCTAAGATAGTTTAGATTATTTAGCTCTATTTCATTAACATTTTGTTATCGACTTACCTTTATTTCAACAATTCGCCAAGCATACGACTGCTCGTCGCCACCACCACCACCACCGACTTTTACCTTCCTCAATATCTACTATTTCCTTCACAAACTACCATCGGCTGCTGCTACCACCACCATGATTTGCAATCACTTTCAATGCATCCATTAATATTGTCGTTTGTAGGTATGCTTACCAATATAAGTTTCAAGTAAACTAAATTACATTTGCTGTAGCTAGGGTTGTAAACGAACTAAACATTCAACGAACTGTTTAATGGGAAGTTCGTTTATTTAATAAATGAACGAACATGAACACAAATTCTCCTTCGTTTAGTTAAACAAACAAACATGAACAATGATCTCGTTCGTTCAATCATGTTCAATCATGTTCGTTTAGGTTCATTTATGTTCGTTTATATAAGTTCCTTTTATGTTTATATATGCTTAATTGTGTTTGATTACATTACTATATTAGATGTTCATCTGTGTTTATATATGTTCAATTATGTTTTTTTATCTTTGTTCATTTATGTTCGTTCATTAATGTTCGTTTAGCATGTTCACGAACATAAACGAACAAACATGAACAATCAAAATTTTGTTAAACGAACGAACATGAACAAGAAAACTCGTTCGTTTATCCATTCGTATTCGTTCATTCGTTCGGCTAACATAAACGAACAAACATGAACAAGCCCTGTTCGTGTTCGTTCAGTTCGTTTTCAGCCCTAGCCCTAGCTATTATGTTTTATCATATTTTGCTTTATTTTTAGTTTTCATCGATAATATTTCATAGATTTTACCTTCGATTTTTCAGTTATCTTTCCTATGGGTTTATGTGTCTTGAAGATGACATGGTTGATTTCTTCGTTCAGTTGATGGCCCTGGATTCTGTTTTCTAGTTTCAAAACTCTTATTTGACTTACATGTTAATGCTATTTTCTAATTGTAGTGCACACTCTATTCATCTTAGTTCTTTGCTTTTTAATAGGCAAAAACAGGGGAGAAAAGATGCTACTAAAAGGGTTTTTACTTTATAATTGAAAGACAAATTGCGAATGTAATTAAGGAAGATATAACTGCTACTTGTTGCTGTTTTCTACTACAAAATAGCCTAATAGTAATACAACTAGTATTTAAAACTAAAACTAACCATATTACAAATCTAACCGTACTCTTAAATTTAAATACAAATGACGACACCAATTCCTTGTTTCAACATCTTGATTCTAAACTGAACTTTCAAATTCCGGTTCACCGAAGGTTTTTCTTGTTCAATTAAAAGTAACGATCCTTCTACTGCTTTCATCACTACTTGATGAAAATGACGAGTCACTACTTTCAACAATTTGCAGTTTCTTGCTTTTTGATCTTCTTGAGCTCGAATGCATGTTGCTGCTTTTATTGTTGCTTCTTGAGTTGGACTTGTTATTTGATTGGTTGGTTTCACTACTACTTTGATCATCATCAAATGCGTCATGACTTTTCTTGCTCAAATTTCCATCTACCCTTTTGTTTCTTGACGATTTCCTATTCACACTTTTCTTCCTTAAACTGTTATCTGAATGTGTTTTGAAGCTCTTGCAGCTTCTTTTTGATGAATTTCTACTCCCATTTATGCTTTCTGTTTGAAATGTAACTTTCCTTTTGATGCTTTTGGGTTTTGATTTCGATCTGTAGCTCGTTTCTTCTTGTTGGCTTTCATCTTCACCATAATCATCTTCGTTATATAAACTTTCCGATGACCAACTACCATCATCATCATCATACTCAACCTTGTTATTGTTGTTCCCAATAGGGTTTTCTTCATACTCTTCTTCGGAATCAGTGTAACTAGTTTCTTCTTCTGTTCCATCGTTCTGACTAGACGCTTCTTCATGCTCTTGTTCAACCTCTCTTGATGATGATGATGATGATCTTTTTTGCTCATGTGGATCGTTAGTTGAAGCAGGAGCAGGATGTGTTTTCGGTGATGGTGGAGCCACCGTGAGGAAGCTAAGAGTCGCCACCACATCGGAGATCAGTGGCCGGACAGATGGCTCCTCTTGCACGCACATGGCCGCCACCCCAACCGCTTGATTTAAACTTCTCTCTGGAAATGCTCCTTGCAACTGTGGATCCGCCATTTCAGGAAACCTCTTTGGCTCTCTGAAATAAGGTTGTGCCTGTTTCAGTGACATCAACTATCCACTTTTTAAAAAAAAGGAACTGAAATTAAATTTTTCATAAGAGCATCTCCAATATCAAAAGCTTTTTACTATTTGATTTTTTTTACTATTTGAAAAAGCTTCCCTATAGATAAAAGATTTTTTGAAAAGCTTTGGCCTTACACTTCCTAACAATTTATTTTACACAATAGTTACATTTAGATATTAGTTTTATATATATATATATATATTTCTTGTATAATCTATTGGATTAAATATACAAAATATATTTGAATATATTTTATGTAGATTTATATCATAAACAAATAATTTTTAAAATTTTGGAAAATCATACAAATACCAAAGATTAGAAAACATTACCATAACATGCTATTTAATCCTTTTTATTTATTAAATAATGATATCTTGAAAAAAAAATGAAGTAGACTTAAAAATTGAAAAATCATATTAAAGGTAGTTTATATAACATATAAGAAAGATAAAGATAAATTAATTAATTGCAAGAAAAAACTTTTTCAAAGGTTAATAATTAGAGTGAGTTTATAACACTAATTTATTGATCAACAAAGGTTAATTGAAATCTAATGCAACAAAAATAAAAACTTTTAAGAGATTAACCATTGGAGATGTAATTATCACATATAAACAGGTCGATGAGCATTAGTGTATTACCCAGTTGACAACATTTTGCTCGTCTATCGGGAGATTGGTATCTAGTGCTTTTCTTCCAGTAATGAGCTCGAGCAGAACGATCCCAAAACTGTAAACATCAGATTTGGGTGTGAGCTCACCGTTTTGTTCATATTCTGGAGCACAACCAACAGTAGCAACCATTCTTTGTTGCATAGTATTACCAGAGTCGAGTTCAAGTTTCACGAGCCCATAATCTGTGAGCTTTGGATTGAAGTTTTCATCTAGCATAATGTTTGATGACTTGAAGTTGCGATAGAGAATGGGTGGATTTGCCTTCTCGTGTAAATATTCCATAGCTTGTGCACTTCCAGATGCTATTTTCATCCTTGTGATCCAATCTAATGGCTTTCCCTCTGGTGGAACCTCTGTCACATAAGTAAAAAAAATGATGATCGTATACAACCACAAAAATTCAATCAATTGCAGTGTAAAGAAAGAGTATTAGAGAAAGAATGACAATAAAATCTCATTTCAAAATGTCTTTGATAGTAAACGTGTGGTTTATGTACGTAATTACACGTCGCAACACTTTCAAATCACCTTACTTGGCTTTTGTAACTAATAAACCGTTACAACACTTCCATTTAATCAAACTGAATTTTTTTACGACACGAAATAAATTTAATAGCAAGCCTTCTATTCCCCTGATGTGAGTGAATGATTAGAGAGTAATTCTTAATATCTATAATTGTTCGAGAACCCAAATGTGATATATGTTTTTCCACAAAGTTCATTTTCTTGATTCGTTAAAAGTCTTAGGTCTACTAGAAGATAAACAAAATACCATGGATATGATCTTTGAGGCCCCCACTTTGCATGTATTCATAAACGAGAATCCGCTGATCTCCATCAGCACAATACCCGATCAGTTGGACAAGATTTGGATGTTGAAGTTGACTCAACTTGGTGACTTCAACAAGAAACTCTTTGTTTGCTTTTGTTCCATGTCTATCTAGTTGCTTCACAGCCACAACCTTCAATCATCAATTAACACAAAGAATATGTATACATGTCAGAGATTTCTATTCTAAGTTGTAATCACACAAGCCAAAAAACATTTGACATTAATTGCTTACATAATTACCTGACCACTACCCTGAAGAGTTCCTTTATAAACTTTTCCAAATGCGCTCTCACCTAAAAGACATTCTCGCCTGAAATTCTTGGTGGCTATGGCCACCTCCCGAAAACCAAAATTACGGGCGGAGTTATCCATGACGTGATAATTGTCTTCATTTGTATTGATGGTAGCCGGAGCAGTAGTCGCAGCAGAGGGACCAGAACGTTCTTGATTATTCGCTTGACTTAAAGGCCCTGACGTCACTGAAACAAAAAAGAGCTTACTTCAATTACAAATATGTTTTGGTTATTAAATTGTAAAATTCATCTATTTTATCACAAATCATAATACATCAGCGTTTTAAGCGTTTTCTTTGGGCTTAAAAAATGAACAGTTTCATCAAGATGAAAAGTAGAATTTTTATTACCAAAGAAATATATATATAATCTCGCCCTTCACTCATGCGTGTGTGTTTAACATTTTAAGACGTTTCTACTCTAATAAATAAAGGTTTTTGTGTCACATGTCACACTCTCATTCAAATTTTCAAATGTCATTTTGTGGTTATTTTAAAATAATTTTTATTCCACATGTTATTTTATAGTTTTCTATTTTAGTAATTCCACATACTATTTAAATGCAATAATAAACACATATTAATTTTCTTAATAAATTTTCCTTTTAATTTCAAAATTACTAAATTAAAGCTTCAGTTAATGCCTTTATTATTTATATAATTATTTGTTTAAATTTAGAGAAAAAAACACTTTATTATTATAATTCAATATTTTTCTCATTTTTTCTTATAAATTCAAACTTCTGAAATGTTTAGAATTTTATATTTAGTTTTTTCTTTTAAATAAATTCATGTAATACATGAGTCACATACCTAGTGATATAATAAATCGATCGAAGAAGAAAAGTAGAATTTTTACAAAAACAAAAAGGTGCTAGAAATGATATTCTAATTTTCATTTATTTCCTTAAATAAAAAATGTACATGGAAACTTGCATGCATGCATACGTACCAGGACCAGGAGATTGAGAATTTGGGTTTCCTTTTGATTTTGACAAAGGCGAATCGTTTTGTTCATTGAATTCTGGATCCTTGCTTCCGAAGCAACAACTCATATCTCATTCCCTCATATATTAATTATCTCTATGATAAAAATCAATGACTCTCAAATGAAGAATCAATTTCAGAAAATGTACACCGAGTTCAAAATTGTTGCTTTTGTGTTACATATTTATCTTCGAAGATCACTGTTCAAAAGCGTGTAACAATCATCCAAGCACATTGTAAAACCAGAAAATGAGAAGAAAAGCTTTGTTGAATATACGAAGGAGGGGTTTTGGTCCTCCATGCTGTGAATAGAGGGAGTTGCAGAAGGACCCCCAAATGCAGGAAATCCATAAAGAAAGATATTAGGAGAGGACAAGAATGCCATGGCTTTGGGAAAGCTTTTGGATGGAGGAAATTGTGGGGATATAAAAGGACATATGTTTGGTGCTTTTTTTTTTCTTTTTTTTTCGTAGCATCTTGTGTGAAATAGAGATAACTTATAGATTTGGTTGCGATTACTTAATTCACCAAAACGATAGTGTTTATCAATCACCCAATCTTATCGACGGGTGTTATTTAATTGAAATACGAGTAATTACAAATTCAGTCCCTGTGGTATATTGAAAATCGTATGTTTAATCCAAATTAATTGATTGTTGTCCGAAAGTTATCCCCCAGTTCCTTTTTATCACAAATTTGAACCATGGATTTTTAAACTTAGCAGCCTGACTATTTAGATTATCCAAAGGCTTTTCATAAATGGTCCTTGTGGTTTCCAAAAGGTGACATATTCAGGATATCTTTAGAAATCACTATATAGATGGTATTTGTGGTACTAAAATCAAGCACGGTCGATTCTTTTGACCCGTCTTCGCGATACGATTCCGGGATTCGACTGTAGCGGTTTCGCTAATAAGGACACCGCCCCCCTAAATCCCAAAAAGCATTGGCGTGTGCCCTTTTTAGCAAAATCGTCACAGATATGGAAGTCGACTTCGACATGTCTGTTAGACAGAAAGCAGTATTTGAGTGTCTTCGGACACCTCATGCTCATGATTTTCTGCTAACTATCCCTATTGATGGCCTTGGCCAGCATATGTATCCTGTGGAGTACCGAACTATCATTTGTTATCGCCTCATGATTCTTCTATTCCCAATTGACGAGATATGCCCAGTTTGCCGCAAGGCATGTTTGGATACCTTTGGGGAACATGCAGTTCATTGTAGAGAGCTCCCTGGTTTCAAGTACATACATGATGTGGTTAGGGATGTTCTATTTGATGTTTGTCGGCGTGCTGGTATTTCTGCGAATAAAGAAGCGCCAGTGAACTTTTTGACGGACCCGCAGGATGGAAGATCCACACTTAGACCGGCTGACATTTTGGTCTTGGGATGGGTAGGAGGGAAGCACGCGTGTGTGGATCTTACTGAGGTCTCTCCTCTCGTTGGTTTGAGGAGCGGGGGTTTCACAGCAGGGCATGCCGCTTTGAAAGCCGCTGCGTGTAAAGTGGCAAAGCACGAGAATGCATGTATAGAAAATCAACATGTGTTTGTGCCTTTTGCATTTGATACATTTGGTTTTCTCGCACCAGAGGCGGTGGAGCTCCTCAACAGAGTCCAACGGGTCATGCATTCTAATGTCATATTTCCTAGATCCACAGATGTTTTTTTCAAAAGAATTAGTTTTGCCATCCAGAAAGGGCTAGCGGCGCAGCTTGTTGCCCGTTTGCCTTCCATCGATATGTATTGAACTATATTAATAGTATGGAATGGAATTTTGCAAAAATCTATAATAAAAAGACATTTTTGCCCTCAAACCAAAGTTGATAAACCTATATACTTGAGGGTCCGTTTCTGTAAATTATAAGTAAAAGTGTAAAACCCTCAATCTAATCAATCGTTTAGGCAATACTAAAATTTTGTAGTTATTGCTCCTCCGCCTCCCTAGTCGTCGCCTGCATTACTTGCCACCACCTCCGAGTTAATCATCGACCACCTTCTCTATTTATTCTTCATTACCACATCACCACCAATACTCCGTCCCTGACCTCCACTGCCCACCACTTCCACCTCACTCTCACTCTCCGGTTTGTGGCTACCCCACCGTAGCTCTCCTATGAAATCAAAAACGATGAGAGCTTTGATTCTTGCTCTGGTTCTTAGGTTCGTTCCCCTTTTCCTCTATGTACTTCCCTTTCTCTATATATCTCCCAATCATGTCCTTATGTGGGTTTATCATTTATAGATGGTACCTAGCTAGGGAGTATTGAAAAACAAAAATGTAAATCGTAGGGGAGACAAGGTACCAAAGCTTCTTTAATTTGATTCCAAATGGGGAAAAATTAATAGATACATTTATTGACTATGAAGATGATGGTGCTATAGGGTTGTCATAGTTTGACGAGAGGGTTTCGTGAAGATGATAGCGAACATGGGTGAAGATTTAAGTGACATAGGGTTATGTCTCTCAAGCCTCACCCTTTTCTGATGCGTGTATCTCTCAATTTCAACTTCAAAGAAATCGATAGAACCCACGCCCCTTCTTCTTGGTGAATGAAGAATCAGTTGCAGGTCCAAGAAAAGAAAACCCAAGAACAAGGTTCCTCTTTTTAATTTGTTTTTTTGAAGTGTTGAGTTTAATAGAAATCATTTGGTTGATTTACTTTAACTGGATTTTTTCTAATATCAAAAATTTATTAAACCTCTAGCAAGCAACAAGAAGCCAGAACAAAAGAGGAAAAAACACTACATGTAGGTTTAAGATACAACAAATGGAAAAATACACCACGAAACCAAATTTAAGGAGATCCCTTTCCCTTTTTATTTTTCACCCAAAGAAATGCAGTCGCCTTTATATCTTCAATCACCCAAACCGGAGAGGAGGGAACTTTGTTGAAAATCATGTTGTTTCTAGCTCTCAAAATTGACCATAGAGCAGACATGATCATCGAATGAGTCACCTTTTTTTGAGTCGAAGATTGACAATGAACATGGGAGATGGATAAGAGCTCTCCAAGAGAATAATTATGGGAAAAGTCCAAATTGCACCAAAATTGGAGCAAAGTCTAGATCTCTTTCACCCAAGTACATTGCAACAAAATGTGAATGAAAGACTCATCCTCAAGCCCATAAGTCTCGCAAGTAACTATGTCAACCTGACTCCCCTTTTTGCTAACTTGGTTTTGGAAGGTAAATGGTTTAGAATCGATCTCCAACTAAAGAAATTGAGTTTGATGGGAACCCAATTATTCTAGAAATGTTTATAAGTAAGTGGAGTACAAAAATTTGAATCCCAAATAGCCCTAATTGAACTCAATGAGAAAAACCCTGAGGGTTCCCCAAGCCAACACCAAGAGTCACCTGAGCTTCCGAGGGTTGAATCTGAAAGTATCTTCACACAATCTACCAGCTCCACCCTTTCAGTTGCAGTTGTCGGTTATCTATTCCAGCTCCAAGTACAATTCAGTCACCCATTAGTTTTTGAAACATCTCTCTAAAACAGATGAATGTTTTTTGGACTCTAGTTTGAACAGAGATGGAAACTTATCTTTAAAGGGAACGTCACCAGACCACCATTAAAACCAAAAGGAAGTCAAATTTCCATCACCTATATCTTTCTTAAATGAGTTTTTTTAGAAGTAGGCTAGTTTTCAAAAAGTGATGTAGAAATAAGTTAGCTTTTAGGGGGTGTTTGGGATATCTTTTCTAGCCTTAAAAGTCCTTTTTAGAAAAGAACTTTTTGTAAAAGTTCGTTTTCCAAAAGTAAATGTTTATAATGTGTTTGGATATAAAAAATGCAAAAGTTGCTTTTTAAAAGGCAAAAGTTCCAAAAATCAGATTTTGTGACTTTTTGAATCACCTTCTTTTCCCTTTAGGCAAAAGTTGTTTTCAAAAGATCTTTTTTACTTTCCAAACAACTTTTCAAAATTTTTTTTGACTTTTTGAAAAAGTAAAAAGTCAAAAAGTTGTTTTTAAAGCGATCCCAAACACCCTCTTAATCATCTTGTAGAAATAAGTTGTTTTGAGGAAGGTCCCACCATTTTTATCATTGAAAGTTTTCAAACGGTTACTTCCAAAAAACAAATTATATAATTTCATTTATAACCCCAACATTTTATAAATTTAACCCCTTAAGTTTTATCTCAATTTATTTTACTATTAAACAATTTATTTTTCATCATTATCAAATATTATACATAGATTACTTTATTTCATAATATATGATTATATTTTATGGATTATTTTTTACAAGTTATACATTTAAATAGATCTTACAAATACCTTAAAATAGATACCAATATTGATTATATTAAAACATTACGAAATTACAAGAACAATTAAAAACGATATTACAATACTAATTAAACGTAAAATTACAATAAAATTTAACACTAACTAACATTATTAATAACGATATTACAGTATGAATTATACACTAAATCACAATATAAATAAAATATAAATCATAACATTCATAATGATATTTTTATTATCAATTATTTGTAAATATGAGGAAATATTTAGTCCACAATGCCTCAAAATGTGTAATTTGAGTTCTCACTATTTCTGAAAACTTAGTATATTTATGTCATTTTTCTTTATACAACTTCAAAAGCAAAAGTATTTTGCAGACCCAACCAAATACCGTTGATGAAAACTTAATATAAATTATTCAATAAATTGTCCAATCAATTCACTTTTTGGTATTATAAATTATCTTTCATACAGTAGATAGCTTTTCATCCCTTCCATCATGATGAAATTCTCTCACAGTTCTTGAATTTCAGCTATTTCCTTATTCTTTTTGTTTAGCATTCGTTCATCCATAACAATGTACAAATTATTGTCTTTATATCATATATTTAGTAATAATAGTTAGCATATGTAGCATACTCATTAATCTCATTATCTATCTTATGATTTATTTTGCAGTTAGTTTTGGTATATTTATCATTATGACTCTAGATCGCTAATTTATGATTAATTTATATTGGGGTGAGAATATTGCATATGAGAATGGTATAAAGGGTGATCATTCAACTTTTTCTACTTCAAATATCGTTAGGCATAAAATGAGATATGAAGAATTTAAAGATTTATGTTATGCACATGTTGGAGTTGAAAAAATGTCACATAAGTTAAATATCTCAATATGTTATCAGTTTGATGGGCAATCAAATATTGCACGGGCCATAAGTGATTCAAGTCTAGACGTAATGTATTATTTGGCTGAGAATGTTGAAAATTATTGGGGTCAAGTTTTAACTGAAGTTGAAAAAATAATGCCGCCTATAAGTACTAGTTTTGTAGATCTCCTTTGTAATGTTGACGTATTTGAGCCCAACCTATGCACTCGTGCACAAAGCCATA